AAAAAAAAGTTCACAGCATTTGGAGTGGATGAAGGTTCATTAACAACCTGGGGTATACAGCTGGAAGCAGAGATGATTTGCAGCACTTAATGATGAAGATCAAAGACTACCGCCTTCAATATGGCTTACATCTCAGTGTAAAGAAAACAAAAATACTTACAGTTGGACTAGTAGACAACATCATGATAAACAGGATATGAACGTTGTCGAGGATTTCATTTGACTTGGATCTACAATCAGCACTCATTGCAGCAGCAGTCAAATCACAGGGCGTATTGCATTGGGCAAATCTGCACAAGACCTTTTTAAAGTGTTAAGGAGAAAAGATGTCATTTTGAGGACTAAGGTGCACCTGACCCAAGCCATGCTACTTTGTCTTTACATATGCATGTAAAAGCTAGTGGATGAAATAAAAAAAAAGTGGATGAGTGAGGAAGATAGGAGAAGAATTGAATAGAAACTACTGTGAACTGCCAAAACCACATCAAATCCATCTTGGAGGAAATGTAGTCAGAATGCTCCTTAGAAACAAGGTTGGTGAGACTTCTTTCATGTACTTTGGACATGTTATCAGGAAAGACTGGTTCCCGGAAAAGGGGACAATGCTTGGTAAAGTAGGTCAGTGAAAACAAGGCAGGCTCTTAGTGAAATAGATTGACACACTGGCTGCGACAGAGTCTCAAATAGAACAATTGTGGTTGGGTCAGGACTGTGTAATGTTTTTTTCCGGTTGCACTTTGGGTCACTATGAGTGGGAGCCTACTGAATAGCACTTAACAATAAAAAATATGCATGTTCAGTGACTGGTTGCATTTTTCACAATGTTTTAACATTTTCTTTAATGTTAAATGGATGTTTTGCTTTCCGTAATCTGGTTTTCTTGTCCCCTGAACCCTTTCTTCTTTGCTTTAGAGCAGCAGTTTTCAACCTGTGGCTCGTGACCCCTCTGGGGGTTGAACAACCCTTTCACAGGGGTCACCCTATTCATAACAGTAGCAAAATCAGTTATGAATTAGCAACAAAAATAGTTTTATGGTTGGGGGGGTCATCCCAACATGAAAAACTGTATTAAAGGGTCGTGGCATGAGGAAGGTGGAGAACCACTGCTTTAGAGCATAGGTGC